CTCAAATAAGGAACTGTCATTTTTAAAACGTGATCTTAACTTAAGAAATCTTTTCCTAGCAATTTCTTCATTATTTTCTAACAATGTTTTCATTTTAGGTTTCCAAGGGAATTTAACTTTATACCGCTTATTTTGGTATGAAAAATTCCCACTTCAAATTCAGACGTTATATCATTATCAAAATTTTCCTCATCAGACACCTCTGCTTCTATTCCTAAATTCTCTAAATTCCAAAATTCACTAAGCTGTTTAGAAATATTGAATTCATTAGCAATAACACTCATTGTTAAAAGTTCCTCAGAATCTGTACTCTGCCCTTGTAAAGACCACGTGAAAAATGTTTCTACGGCCACAAGATTTTTGTTTAGACGCGTAATTCTACCTGTAACTACTTGATAATAATAGTCCGCATCAATAAGAATTGATATTTCTTTATCGTTAAATTCATAAGGATCGGCTAATTGTACATTTTTTAAATATCTAAATTTTTTTATCAATATTTCTATCAGGGGTCGGTAAATCCGTAATAGAAATATGTTCTGTCTCTACTGCTTCTATTTCAATGCACAGATTTGGATCATCCCTGTTTTTCAATTTTATTTTAACTATATTTAAAGTTTTTGCTTCAGTTTCTCTTTAGCACCAAGTGTGCAAATGGAAAGGTTTTCTTTTCTAAGAATTGGAAAGTTAATTTTCTCATAAGTACTCTTTAAAACGAAACTTCTCTGTGAACCACTATCTAAAAATAATCTAGCAACTTCTTTTCATTTTTGTCATCTCTTAATGTGGCGCATGTTTGTAATAATACACTATTTACTTCTGTTTTAAATACTGCTGAAACTATATTATCAGTGTCCCTTTTCGGAGACAAATCGTCATCATGTCGATTTCGAAAACATATTGAGAAATGGTGGGGTCCATTACAAATAGGTCACGACTCCCTTTTTACACATTCCATGCTCTATGACCGAGCGACAGACACAAATAACAACATCCTTTTCTTCTTAAAATTTCTCGCTTTTCGTTACCACTAAAAGAATGGCAAGCGTCGAGTTCATGACCTTTGTTGCAGTATAAACATTTTTGGCTTCTAAGTTCTACTTTCTCCAGAAGGGTGGGGAATAAATGTGGTCGGAAATGGCTTCATGCGTTGTCCGGGGAAATAGGAACCTTTATTTTTTGTTCTGTTTGAGGGAAATAATGACATGGTTCATGATTGTTTATTTGAGAGGTTCGTTCCCGACTACGGATCTCCAAGTGCAGGAACCGCAAAAGAGCGCTCAGGACAAACCGTTCGTCCTTTTGAGAACGATTGAATTCCAAAACGAGTTCCGAGGGTATCTGTTTCATTAGGATGGGTGTTAGTAAGTTTGAATAGGATCAATGAAGAATACTTCCCCAAAATCTTGCCGATTTATCAAAGATTAGCTTCATCTGAATTATTAAGCAGGTGTGTCAGAGGTCTGACACAAAATTCTAATGAAGCATTGCATTAGATTTTATGGAACAGATGTTCCAAAGAAAATTCAGCTTCTAGTAGTCGTGTGCTGATTGCAGTGGCGAGTACAATATTTGAATTTAATGTTGGAACATTAAATTCAGCTCTAAAAACATTTAATGATGTTAATTGCTTTGCAACAAGTTTATCGTCTGAACATTTAGCCTTCTTTACTGATTATAGAAGAACCTACTTCAGAAAGAAAATAAAATCCGCAAATTTTAAAGTCGCGCAGCAAAAAATAAAACTTGCTAAATTGCGTCGACTTAAAATTGAGAAAAAATTAGGTCATATGTACAAAACTGGTGGTTTTAAACTTTTTTTAAACTTTTATTTATATCATTATTATTCCTTATAAAAGTGTGTTGTATTTTAAAACTTTTAAGAAATTATTCTGTTAACTTTAAGCTGAATATATAATCTTATCGTAACAAATGCTACATCGATATTTTGCAAAAACATATTTTGAATAAGTAAAAGTATTTTCACAATCATATATTTATTTAATGTAGTGTTTTCATATATTATATAAGTAGTAAAATAATATACTAAAAATTTAGAGCTTTGCGAGCATTATTAGCTTTTGTTTTATGCCTTTACAAATTTTAAATGCATTTTTCTCAAACTTTTATTTTTGAAGATGTAAGTGTTTTCTAATCCCTAAGGCTTTTTTTCTATTCAAGATACAGTCTTGAAATTTTTTATAGATACTTAGATATGTGTGTTCTACAAAATCTAGTATGGATTTTGGTCTGGGGTCTCTAGTTATTTTTTAAAAAATGTTAAAGTTAATATTTTAAAAATTTTCGTGTTTTTTCCAGGTTTTGCTAGAAAAATAATTATTAAAAATCAACAAAGAAACAGATTTTTAAATCCATACTAATTTTTGTTTACAATAATATTAGAAATATAAATCACTGAAAATAATGAAAAATTTCAAAAACTGTGTATTTTATAAGAATTTTAAAAAACTTCAAAAATTTTAATTTTTTTTATAATTTTAAAATAAGGGCTTGTTAAATTGACTTTCTATTTTCAGAATCAGTTCAATAATATAGTTTGAAAATAATACATAAATTACTTTTAATATTACTGTCTCCTAAAAAATTTTTTGAAAAAGGGTACCTTGTAGCCTTAATTAACTTTTAAAATTTTAAGTTCATTCTGAATTATTTTTGCCGTATTTCGGACTATCTCAAACAGATGGCGCCACCACGGTTTTAAAAGAGAATTTGTTCCTGGCTACGAATACTTATTTTTGGTGATATCTTTCTGAAATGTAGTCGAAATGTAGCTGAAAATGTGGTAACTTGCAAATTGTGACAATTGGTGGGCAATGGAAAAGATTTATGATGGACAGAGATTTAACATCTTAAATCTAATGAACTTTCCTATTTAGAAATGTATTAAATATTTTCTGCATGTGTACTTTAAAAATTTCATTTATATACATAATTTATAATTATGCTGCTTAGATTTTTTTTTATTAGTTATTGAAGAAATGTTTATAAAAATGTTTAAATTCTGTGAAGCAACTGAATGCAGAATTGAAAGTATACTTATTTTATACTTAACCAAAAGTTGGGAATTAACTAAAGAGCACAAATTACTACTCCTTAAAGCTCACAAATTAAAATTTTAATTTAATTATTGTATTAGAATTATTATTATTTTTTCTTTTAACTAAAAAGAATTTTTTTTTAAATCGACTAGATTTTATATTTGATGTAAAACTTTACCATAAACCATTGGAACAATTATTAACCAAATCTTGTATTCTAATTTAATTAGCAGAAACTTATTTTTTCAATTAATTATGCACAGATTATGCCAAATTCTAAGTACGTTTTTGTGGAAAAAAATTAAAAATAGTGTAAAATATGTCATCGACTCTGATATATTTACGAAGTAAAAAGTGGCCGCGGTTGCCTAGTGGTCAAGGTAACGGAATCGTGACTGGCGTGTCATGAGTTCGCGCCCAATACCGCTGAACACCTACCGTGTAGGGAAGCGATACACATTAAATCTGTCGAGAGCTTAAACGTCTTTCCGTCGGAATGGTATGGTAGCTGGGAGAGGTGGGTGCCAGCTCAGTTGTCATCCTCGTCACTTGACCATGGTTCAAAATTACGAGGCCCATCAACAAGAGCCCTCGAGTAGCTAGCTGATTAGTGTGACGTTAATATTTATTCACTCACTTTCCGAAATAAAAATAATATATATATAAACGTGAATCCATAAGAAGTGAATAATTAATTTATTTTGCCAGTATTAAAAACTTTTAAAAATAAACGAGAACCTGTATTTTTTCTATCCGACAGTATGTTGTTCAATTTTCCCCTACGATTCTCAACTGCACCCGATTTTTAGTAGCATGAACATCGGGAAAAAAGTGCGGCTTAGATTCGAGTAAATATGTCAATATCGCGTTTTTAGTCTCTGTATCTAAGTTTGCCTTTTTTTTCTATTAAAAATTACTGTGTGAAATTGTATATCATTAAACGTTTTCAATAACCTAATCAAGAGTACTTGACTAAATTTTTAATATAATAGATGCTGGTATTTCTTTGCGCAATACTTTTTACACATATTGTAGTTAGAATTAAAGTTAATTCAAAATATATACACATTTTAGTTAAATATGTGATAAAATTTTTAAGTAGTAACATTTTTATAACTTTTTTTTCATGAAAAGAGAAATATGTGGGGCATTACCATATGAACAGATATTTGTTGCTCTTTCGGGTTTTTCGTTTAGTACAATAGTTAAAATATTAATTTTTAATACTAGTTTATTTTTAAACTAGCTGTACCCTGCCACACGTTACTGTGGCTCAATACGGTTAAAAAAGGAATGAGAGAATGCACACATTTCTAATATTTTTAACTATTTGAACTTAAGTACGATTCTTTGCATTTACACTTAAAGTATGATTCTTTTTCTTAAAAAAAATTTTTAATATGCATAAACAATACTTTTCTAAACATTTTTCATTTGTTAATGGAATACATGATTTGTTACAGTTTAATTTTGTCCTTATATTATGAGCCTAAAACTATTTAGGTTGTCTCCGTAATGGAGACTTAAATGCATTAAGTTGTTTTTGAAGTTATACTTCTTATTGGGCGTTTGAGAAGGATGAGAGTAAATTTTTACGATGCGCGCGCACACCATCACGGATGTGACGCAAAACCGTTACGGATGCGAACATGCTTTGTCTAGAAATATACAGGTTGGGACAGATCATTCCCGCCTTCGAAATTCTCAGAAAAAAATTTCTCTTCACTTTTCTGAAGAAGGAGGCACCCAGGTTTGAACCAGGGACCTTTCGATCTGCAGTCGAATGCTCTACCACTGAGCTATACCACCGCGTCAGCGATCCTTTGCTTTGGTTCCATAGGAACTGATACGAAAATGATTTGTCTAGAAATATACAGAATGGGGCAGATTATTCCCGCATCCAAAATTCTCAAAAAATATTTTCCTTCACTTCCCTGAAGAAGGGGGCACCCGGGTTTAAAAAGGAGACCTCTCGATCTGCAGTCGAATGCCCTACCACTATGATATACCCCCGTGTCGCAAACCTTTGCTTTGCGTTCCGTAGGACGGATACGAAAATGCCTTGTCTAGAAATATACAGAATGAAACAGATCATTTTTCCGCCTTCAAAATTCTCAAAAAAATACTTCTTTACTATATTAGTTATAATTCTCTTTTTGGGAGGATGAGGGTAAATTTATACGATGCGCGCTCACACCGTCACGGATGCACGCACATACCTTCACGACACTGATGCGTCCGCACACCATTGTATAATATTTTAACGTGCCACTTTTTTTGGTGCTATGGGACTGATATTTGGGGGATCATAAAAATTATAGTTGTAAACCACATCTATTGGGACCCATCCGCCCTGTGCATTCCCTCCCTCTACAGTTTTTTGGCCAATATCTCGGCACCCAAGCCTCACGGTCCATTCGGGCCTGGCTCATTCGATCCCTCTCTATCTGTCCTTCCAGTTATTATAATTATTATTATTATTCCAGTTATTATTATTAGACGCATTTGCCGATGTTAAAGGGAGTGCATGGAAAGGGTGCTTGGAATTAAGATTTGCTTCTGCAAGATGTCTGGAAATTGTTTGTGGAACAATTGCTACGCCTACGTCTGATCGTATCGTTGAACGAGTCACTGTGGGGTACACAAGTACTTGCCGCACGATCCTTCGATTTTCTCTCCTCGTGGTCTTCCTGGTCGCTTCACACCCGGTTTTTCACGCGTGGGTACCTTCTCGTGTCCACTGCTCCCAACAATTTCTAATGGCGCATTCCGAACGATCCACCTGGACAGCAACATGGCCCGTCGACCAGCCTGCAGTTTTCATCCCGATGATCAGGCCTCTCTCAAACTCACTTAACTGTAAGAAATGTCTTCTAGCACGTTTACCTGCCATGTTTCTCTTACTAAAGTCTTCCTACAACCGGCGGGTAATCGTCACGTTTATGAATCTTCGAATTTGCGCTGGCTTATATAGCACCCTTTTTCTGATTGTAGCGCCACCTCGGTGTGTAGGAGTATGCGTATTGGCACAAAATTTGGATCATTCGCATGTCATTACGCTGTACTTATTTGCAAAAATTCATGATTGTACTTAGCTTCCTTCTTGGGTCGCTATTTTCAATGTTTCTGAGTGTATATGTATTCTAGATATATTTTTTCAGTACCTTAGCTTCCTTTATATATTCACCTATATTTAACATTTTAAAATTATTTTAAGGTTTTAAATTTTTTATATCCCGCATAGCTCCGATGATTTTTGAACTTTGTTGATAAAACTTGGACCATAGGTTCCAAGTCCGTTCCATACGTCATCGGTCAGGTCCGTTTGAAGAAGCTTTATTTTCTGTGTTTTTACTCAGTTACAAAAAATACATCTGGCGGTACTCACGCGCCCTCTAACGGTGAAAAATAAGAAGGCGTTACAACATGCCGCCCACCTTGAAATATTATTTTAATATAAATGTGAACAATATAAAGTTACATAAATGAAAATTTAAAATTTAAGAAAACATTCACAACAATGTAGTATATGCATATTTAAATGAGCTACAAATAATAAAATATGGATTTAAATCGGTAGAAGACTTAATTTTATATTTCTTTTAAATATTCCATCTGATGTTTTGACATTGACAACCCTGACTTTATTGTCTAGACCAGGATACAATTGAACAATTCTACCCATTTTCCATCTAGTAGGGGGTAAATTGTCATCTTTTATAAGGCACAAGTCATTCACTTGAAAATTTTTAGTTGGCAGAAGCCAGTTTGGCCTTTGTTGCAATCGACTTAAATACTCCTTGTGCCAACGTTTCCAAAACTGTTGAACTAATTTTTGAATTTGTTGTCATCTAGTTAGATAGGAATTATTTGAGTCAATATAATTGGGTTCAGGAATACTTGTCAATGGCTTTCCAATAATGAAATGACAAGGCGTTAAGGCTGATAGGTCATTTGCGTCATTAGATATGGGCGTTAATGGTCTGGAATAAAGACAAGCCTCTATTTGAGTTAGAAATGTTTCAAATTCTTCGTATGTTAATTTCATTTCTCCAACAACAAGTTTTAAGTGATACTTAGTTGACTTTATTCCTGCTTCCCAGAGACCACCCATGTGTGGTGCACCTGGAACATTTTGATGCCATTTAATACCATTATCAGTTAAAAATTTACTAACATTTTGATTATAATTGTCTGATTTTGAAAGCTTTTCTAATTCCATGAGTTTTCGTTTTGCGCCGGCAAAGTTGGAACCGCAATCACTGTGTATGTCGCTGCATTTTCCTCTGCGGGAAATAAACCTCTTCAGAGCTGCAATAAATGCATCTGCTGAAAGATCAGTCACTAGTTCTAGATGAATAGCTCTAGTAGTGAAACAAACAAACAGAGCTATGTATGCTTTAAAGGATTTGAAACCTTTGCCTTTAATGGTTTTAATTTGAAAAGGACCAGCATAATCTACTCCACAGCGCATAAAGGCAGGAGCAAGAGAAATGCGTGAAGATGGCAAATCGCTCATCATTTGATTAGTGATGGAAGCTTTTACTTTGCAACATTTTATACATTTTCTTATTAAGTGTTTGATGACATCTCTAGCACCTATTATCCAATACTGTTCTTGAATACAAAATTGCACAAGTTGTGTACCAGCATGCAAGAGAATTTCATGATAATGTCTAACAATGAGATCTGTTAGAATATGCCTTTTTAGCAGTAAGATGGGATGTTTGTGGCCGTATGCGAGATTTGCATGTCTCAAACGACCACCCACCCTGAGAATATTTGAACAATCTAAAAATGAATTTAGAGATAAAATTTTGCTTCTGCAAGATAGTGATTGATTCCCTTTTAAAGCATTGATCTCATTGTTAAACTCAACAATTTACACTGATTTAATTAATATATACATAGAATTAGTTCACTAGTTTTTAAAAGTCCAATTATTTTATCATTTGAATTTCTACAATTATTAATAAATCTTAAACAATATGTGTTATTACACGTTTAAGTTTAGAAAGAGAAGAGAATTTATGAAGTAAATCATTAACATCAGGCAAGTGATTTGGTACAATAATTAATTGTAATGCACAATACCTTTCTTCTGGCACAGCATCATTCAATGAAAGAACAGAAGAGTCTGTCTGAATAGGAAAAGTTTCATGTAAAAACTTGGGACCACACAACCATATTGAAGTGAGTAAAGTTGAAGATGATACACCACGGGTTGCAAGATCTGCAGGATTTGCACTCTGTTGGCTACGAAGGTCTTCCATCGGCTGGCATGGGATCCAACCCAAGCAAGTACGATAGTAGAATCCGTATAAAATTGGGTTTGTGATATAGGGTAATTCAGAGCTTTGCAAGTAAAGTCCATCAGTTTAACTAACAGAAGAGCTCCACACAATTCTAGTCGAGGAAGTGAGACAGGTTTCAGCGAAGCAACTCATGTCTTGGCTATTATTAGTTGACCGTTGATTTTTTTCTGTATCTGAAACAGAGCGACAGTGAATTGCAGCTGAATAAGCCTTTTCGGAAGCCTCACTGAAGCCAAATAGATAAAATTGGCTGTCTGAATCGACGAACAAGAATCCAAGAATGGAATTTTGATGTCTTTGACCAATTGCACATCCTAAGCAAGTTGTTCCCATTCAAGTGTAATGTCTGGAGGAACCCTTTCGTCCCACTGCAACTGTTGTTTCCGCAGTCTTTGCATGATTGTTTTATACTGGATTGTGATGGGTGACAGCCATCCAAGTGGATCGAAAGTTTTAGCAATTGTAGAAAGTAATATTCTTTTGGTTAAAGGGCCTTCAAAAGATAAAGGAGTGATTTTGAAGTAAAATACATCTGAAGCTGGATGCCACAGGATACCTAATGTTTTTACTGTATCATCATTGTCTATATTCAAAGAAGCATTAGATAAACGCATATCTGAATCGATTGAACTTAAGAGTTCGTTGCAATTAGAAGCCCATTTTCTCAATACAAGTCCGGCACTGGACAACATTTGAGTCAATTGGTTTTGTAGTTCCAAGGCTTCAGAGAGTGAATTGGCTCCGGACATCAAATCATCAACGTAGAAGTCATTGAGAGCTGCTTTAGAAGCAAGAGGAAAATTATTTGCTTCGTTTAATGCCAACTCCTGTAAGCATTTTATTGCAAGGTACGGCACTGATGCAGTTCCATAAGCTATTCTTATCAACCTAAAGCAGTGCTTCTCAAACTTTCAATACTGGCGCCCCCCTTTTCAATCACAATTTTTATCGCGCCGCCCTTATACATTAATAATGTACTGAATGTAATAATAATGCACTTTGACGCTAAAGCTACTATACGTTATCTTAATTATAAACCATACAAATTAATAGCATAAGTATTACAGTTTGTATACTACTTTTTGCAAAATAAATAAATTAAGACAGTGCTCTTCTAAAACTTTCACTACTGGCGACCCAATTTTCAATCATAATTTTCATCACCCCCAATAATAATGTATTGAATGCAATAATAATGCACTTTGAGTATTAAATTTTGTATACGTTACTTTTTATATAATATATATTTTAAGCAAATTACTTTTAAGTAATAATTATAATGTTATGTTATTTTTTCCTTTCTCATTTTTTAAATTGGGACAGATTTCAAAATGACATTTAATTAAAAATTTATTTCGTCCATCATGCATTTCTAAAAGTACAAATGTCATTAGAACAAGTATAATATAAAAAATAAATTTTAAGTCAATTCCTACTTAGGCCAACAAAGAAAAACTTATTTTAGTTACTTTCTATTAAATAGTTTCAATTAATACAAATATGTAATACATATGACAGAATCACAATGTTAAGCGACAAAAGAGAAAGCGATTTTCCTTGCAATTTTTCCTTTTCTTTTCTATATATGGGGTATTGGAATATTCTTTTTTCGTTACTATTTATTCATTAATTAGTGTAAGAAAATAGTAAAGTAAAGAAGAAATTACACACATTCTTAGAAATTAGGCCATCTCGGAT